AATAGGGGGCGTCGGCGGGTACGATGAAGGTGCGGGGTGCCTTGCGGTATGGCCAAGGGAGTGACAATCCATGCATGTAAAGGCAGGTGCATGCGGTGCTTCCTCCCCCTTCGTCATGCGTTACCCCCCCACCCCCTTCCACCCCCACGGAATCCACCAAACCACCAAACCCCCCACCCACCTCGCCCGCGCGGCGCCAGGCTGGGCTCCAGGGGCAGGGCCAGCAGGTGGTACAGCGTGCACAGCAGGGCCACAAGGAGGAAGGGCGCAGCATCCACCCCCGCCGCGACGGTCAGCGCCCAGGACTGCACTGCGGCCGCCACGGGGAAGCTGCCGCCAATGAGCGTCTTCTCAAAGCCGGCGACCACCACGGGGTACTGCAGCTGGATCCAGCGGAACTGGATGGAGATCCAGAGGCCTGTCAGGGGATCAAGTGCGCGCGTGTGTGTGTGTGTGTGTGTTGAGGAGCGAGGGGCTTGGGGATGGAGGGGGAAAGCGTGGCGCGGCAGAGGTGGCGCAGGAACGAGTGCAGGGTCGAATGTCCCCCGTTAACCTCGCACCCGTGAGGGCCAGGCACGCTGCAGTGATGAGCAAGACGAGGGCGGCGAGGATGCCCGGCATTTCGCTGGCCAGGAAGAGTTTCCCCGACGCGGCGGCCAGGAGGGCGAGGCCTAGGGTGGCCCAGGCCACGCCAAAGGCCATCTCCTTCTGCCTCAGGGTGTCCAGGATGTACACCGCCATGCCCCCCACCTGCACGGTGGTTGAGCATGGGACCTCGCGTAACTCGGGGGAGAGGTGCAGTGGGAGAGTCCCTTCGGTCAGGTCCCCAACCCCATGCCAGTAGGGTGACGTCGCTGAAGCCGCCCATCTCGTTCTCTCCTCAAAGCCAAGATGCCCCAAAGTCGCCTGGCGTAGCACCCACCATGAGGATGGACGCCATGGACCCTCCATCAAATCCGGCCAGGATAATGAGACTGGGGAGCAGGGCCGCTGCCACCCTCTCGTTGTAGGCGAAGCCGATCGGTTTGGGGGGAGTGCTGGGGAGGGGTGGCAGGGACCCCCGCCCCGCGGCTGCCAGGCTGCCAGCCCCGAACATTAGTGCTTGCAGGTGGGAGTCAGTCCCTGCGGACCCTCATGGCCACTGCTTGTGGGAATTTCGGATCACTGCTTCACCGTATCTCCGCATGCTTTCATCGACATATCGATCAAGTACTGCATGTCCGCTCGGAAGGGAACACAGGTGCAATTTCAATGTGTGCCGGAGTAAGAACTGGGCGCGCGCAGATCACATCGACATGTGAAGACCGACAAGAAGGTGCAAATACGACATCGCCCAACGAATTTCTGTGCATGCTACGTGGTGAAACTGGAGATACGAGCGAAGACAAGAGCTCTGTGCAGAGCATGTCGGTTCCCAGAGGAGACCGCGAACACATACGCCTCTGCCAAGTGTGAAATTAGAGAGTGGTGACCGGCACAAGCCCTGATCGCCTGAGACGCTGTCGACATGCGTTGGGCGTATGCCCTTGGAGGCAGTCTGCTGGTCCTGGGCTTCCTCGCCGGCTTCGGGGTGGACAGGGTCGTGCAGGAAATTGACAGGCGCGTGGAGTCTGCCATCTCGGAGCAGGTCATCTGGCGCCCCGACTCCCCACCCAGCGTCCATGGTGCGTGGGGCTCATGCCTGGAGTGGGCACAGTGGCCTCTCTCCCGTCTTTCATGGTGCCCGTCATGCTTCTCTCTACCCTCCCTCCAAGGAAACCTAGCCTCCCACCATCCCTGCAGACCGGTATGCAGCCACCAATGCCTCGGTGCACGTACGCTACTACTTCTTCAGCATCACCAACATCGTCGACGTCCGCGCCGGCGCAAAGCCCGTCCTGGTGAGGCCAGGGCCGGATCATTGTTAGCTTTGGCATGATTGGTGTTCGTGCGGACCCATGGATTATTGGTGCCAGGACGCCTTGACCCGCTCCTCAAGGGAGTCTAACGCAAGACCTACCGCCTACCCACCTCCTCCTTGTCTTACGATCTGTGTGGGAGAATTTATGTGAGCATGTGGCCCGCCGCCTGGTATTCTTGATGCTAGGTCCCCCGCTCAACCACACCCCGCCTGTCTTCACCCCCCCTCCCCTGCAGGAGGAGATCGGCCCCTTCATCTACACCAAGCACGCCATCAAGCAGGGCATCACCTTCCTGAACGGCACAGTGTCCTTCCACGACTACACCTACTACCTGCCCTGCCCCGAGCTGACGCCGCTGTCCCTCGACACCCCCATCACCACGCTCAACCTGCCCCTTGTGGGCGCGCTGGAGAAGATCGGCGGCTACGCGCCGGCCTCCGCCGCGCGTTGGCTCAGCTGGCTGGCGCGCGCGGTGGAGGCCTGGTCCGGCGCCGACGTGGAGGGCCTGTTTACCACGCGCAGCGCGCGCGAGCTGCTCTGGGGCTACGACGACCCCCTGCTCAAGCGCCTGCACTGGTTTGCCCCCGGGCTGGACCCCCACTTCACCATCGTGCACAACATCAGCGGCGCGGCGGCCGCGGCGACCCGCCCCGTCAACGTCATGGCCACGGGCGCACGCGACCCGCGGGAGGTCTGGCAGGCGCGGGAGTGGCGGGGGCTGACCCGGGTCACCGCCTGGGCGCCGCCGCACGTGGAGCGCGTGCGCGGCGGGGACGGGCTCCAGTTCCAGCCGGGCGTGACACTGGGCCAGAGCCACGTGGTGTGGGTTGGGGAGGCCTTCCGGGCCGCCACCCTGCTGGCCCAGGAGGAGGTGGGCTGGGGAGGGTAGGAGGATCATGGGAGACGGGGTGGCAGGTGTTTCGGGAGGTGGTTTCGGAGCATAGTGTGGTTGATGCGAGGAGGCGAGGCTGTGCACGTCGCTTGGTACCGAGGTAGCATGCCTTCGTCGACCTGCTCCAGCCATGCCTGCACAGACAATCGTCCCATGAAAAACTGAAGCTTCCACTCTTT